ATTCTAATATCATATGATCTGCATGGATAAGACAATAATCCCAGTGTATGTCTAAAAATATCAGAGCCTGCCATTGTTTTATCCCCTGGAGCTGGGAATCTGATTAGAAGGGGCTTGATGGTGCAAGGATGGATGTTAGTTGAAGGTTTGCATTTTGGGAAGTGTGAAATTGCACATTTCAAACTAAAGGTAATGGCACAGATTTCCACTGGCTTTTTGTCACTTGGTTTGTGCAACCAAAATACGCAAAGGCAGAGTTAAATCAAAGCGTGTTAGAACAGAAACAGTATTATCCTGCCACACAACTACACCAAACAGTCACTGGGCCTTTTCTTATAAAGCCGTGAGGCAGCTGTTGGTGCTGTGTCTCTGTGAGGCTCGTGCTGCAGGGACCTGTTATAGGGGTGAGATGTAACCGGAGATAGTTGACCTAATTTTTGGGTGTTGTGGTATGCGAGGGAGTCGAGGTGATCAGAAAAGAAGACGAGGTCATCTCACGATCCAGTCTCTGCCATCTTATAGCAACTTGTTCAGCGAAAATCAAGCCTGTGGCATCGTGTCAGTGTCGCACAAAGGTCCAAATGTTGTTATGCAACATTCCCTTTTATGTTCTCTGAAATGCTGATAACAGAGTTCTTAGAGGCTGCACCCACTTCATGAGAGCTGTAAACAGACTTAAGGTCCCTCCAGATTATGAGCTTCAAGGAAACTTAGATATGTCATTGAGTTTCATGTATGCAGACTATATGGTGATAATACCTTCACCAATCCAATGCTGTTTTTTCCCATGCTTTGTGATCCTTGGTGCACGCAAGATGTGATAACTGGCAGAAAATTCAATTAAATTTTTCTTTTTGATATAGCGCCAGTTCAGAATAACAGTTGCCCTTAAACAATTAAAATGACACTGCCTTTATGCTCAATTCTAAACGCTCAACTCTTAACTTTCATTTGTAATTTTATATAGTCATCGAATCACTTAGCATTAGTTTCTTTGCTTCTTAGCTTCTTAACTTGGAGTTGTTGACAAAAATATGACAAACATGTGACAGCTGACCAGGTTTCTGAATGTTATTCATCACAAACTGCAGGTTTCTCAACTGAATACCAGTGATGGATTTTTACTGATAGCTCCACTGAACTGACATTTGATTGATGAAATAAATTGCATATTAGTTGCATGATTGCAACTGATATGAGAAAAGTTATCTAGGAGTTGACTTTAATGCAAGAACTTGCTCAGCCAGAGTACCAGTTTGTGTGCATACATTTCAAAAAGAATGTTGGATGCGTTCAGATGCATCCAGAAATGTAAAGACAGTGTAGTTTGCATGTTTCTACATGTGTGTACATCTGCATTATATATATATATATATATATATATATATATATATATATATATATGAGAATTTCCACAAAGATGAGCATAAGATACGTAAAATATGTATATATGTGTTAACTTGCATTGAGTCACGTCTATTAGTTGATCTTTCATGCGTGACTGACCACTGAATGCCCAAGCAGCTCGATGCTCACACCGAACGTTGACCCCTGTGACTTTTAATGCATCGTCAAGCATTTTGCTGCATTTGTGTGTTTCCACGTGGAGGGCCGTATGCTGTGTGTTTAAAAATGTGTGTGCTCAGCAGCAGTCATCAACCCATTCTCATTGATTTTAAAGGTTTCCTTTTTTTCCTCCCCCGGCTCAATTTCACAGCTGTTTATATGAGTTTTGTTTGTGTGTGTTGACAGGGACACTGTATTCTAGTGTTCGAGCCCTTCTGTATAGGGGGAGGGCCTATGTTTTCTAATCTATTTTGAGCAAAAACCCCTCCCTCCCTTGCTGTTGCTGTAGATATATAAGGCCTCTGCAGACACACAATCTTTTCTTCACTCTCGTTTTAGCTGAGACGCCAAACTGGAGGTAAGTGTGTGTGTGTGTGTGTGTGTGTGTGTGTGTGTGTGTGTGTGTGTGTAGGAGGGAGGAAGGGACGGTGGGGTGTTTGTTTCAAATGGTCGTACTCCAGGCTGCATGCAGTTTTGTTACACATTAATTGCAAAAATTCATTAAGTGCAACAAATTCTTGCTGTCAATGTTCACAAAAAAATTAAATCTAAGCATTTAGCAGTTTTGATGTTTAAAACGTTGGCTTCAATTCTGAAATTGGAACATTTCCTAAACTTGTTGATTTGTAATGTTGTAATCAGCTGTTTCTAAGAAGATCATGACCGTTAAGTAGTCTTAGACACATAACATGTAAGCTGTGAAGCAGCGTTTCATAATAAACAGGTTTAGATGTCACTGCCATCAAGGAAACACCCATAAACTGCCATTTCATAGTCTGAGTGCTTTTTAGTAGGTCACCCCTCTGGCAGCCTATTAAATCTCTTTTAAACAAATGTAATCTTATCCTTTTAACAGTGACCCAGAATATAGTCGTCACTCAACAGATGTAAAATTGGATAAGTTGTTTCCATGCTTAGATTCCTGGATGAGGCCTTTTTTAGGGTAGTTAATACATGAGACAAGGTCAATTTTAGCTTCTTAATGTTTTTGTGTTCATAATGTTGTGTTATAGATTCAGAGTAATTTATGAAGTGGTAACGAGTCAAATTCTACTGTAAGTGTAAATTATGTTGGGTGGGGGTGTTTGTGAAATGGTGAAACTGTTGTCTGTGTGCATTTAGTTGGTTCTTCTTCCTTCTCTGGTTGTTTGTTTGGTTGAGACCCAAACACATAACTGTGCTGCACAAGAGACATCACAAAAACACAAATGAGCAAAAACAAAAATGGATGATCACCTATTATTGGCTTAACGTAACTATTCTTTACTTGTGAAATAACGGGTGGGGTGTTATTCAAGCTGAATTGTTGCACAAGGTCATTTAACATTTCTACACAAATACACTCATTCCCTCAAACACATGAGGTCATCTTTCCAACAACCTTTAAGACTGTCCTCCACTAGAGACTAATTGCAAGACTATGTCTGTTATTAGTTGGTCTATGAAACTAAATTATATATATTTTCAGTGAAAGCTGCAGTCACAGTGGAGGCCCAGGCTGTGTTTAAACTAAGTCTCTGAAAAACCCTAAAATTATTGAAGTGATGCATTTTCCTGTTGCTTCTGTTGTTAGTGGTTGTTTTTGTTTTAAATCTCCTCCATTATTCGTTCAACCTTCCCGTCCTGTATAATTCCTTAAACCGTAAGCATTAAAATGACTCCATGATTTGGACTGTATAAAGATACAGTTGGGTTTGGAATGTGAGGGATCAAACATTTATATGCAAATACTTATTAGTGACAATGCACTAGTAGGAACATGTTTATACTCAAGAAAAAACTGCCTCGTACCTCAACGTCTGGAGTGTGAGGAGACATGCAATATGTCATTTAGTTATGGTTCAACCCACTGAATATCTTAGAGCGTGCCTAAGAGCATCTTGCCATTTAGCAGCCATCTTGGTAATACCTTTGAGCAGTTAATTTGGGCTAACAAGACCAAGCCCTCGTTCTAAATGGATGATGAGATGGATACACGGGAGAAAATGCATGTAGAGAATCATTAATCGATCATTTGATTGATATATATCTATATATATATCTATATGGATGGATGGATGGATGGATGGATGGATGGATATTTTAAAAAACAAAAAAACTTTACTTGGTGACTTTTCCCCGGAATGAGGTATAAATTATAAATCAGCATGTTGATTATGCTGGTCTGACACTAGCTCCTCCCAACACAACACTTGAACTAATGCCATGCCAGTTCATGTTATGGATACAGATTACCAAGAAAAATGACAAGCATCATGACATGACCTATATTTTATCTCAACTGCACTCCTCTAAGGTTTCATTGCTGGCTCCTGCTCAGTTGCAGTGTTACTGTGTTGACAAAGCTCCCCACAGAAATCCGGAAACAGACGTATAAACATCTGCCAGACTACTCATAACCACTTTTATGGTACTTCCTGCTACAGTAGATGTCACAGGGACCGCAAATTGACATGACCCACACACAAACTCAGACTCGCAAGGAAAAGACGCCACCAGCCACACTGTTGCTAACTTGTAAAAAGTGATCAAAACATCTTTATATTTATAACTGAATGCTCAACTTCTTTGCAAAGTATTTCTTTTCCCCTTGATTCAGCCAAATTCTAAGGTTGTCTGGTATATTGTAGCTCTAATGTACACAAACTGATCTGAGCTGTCCTGCTGTGTGTGGCATTTAGAAATGTCAGCAAATTAAAAGGCAGGAATTAATATTAAATTAAACCGAATAAATAATAAAAAGCGCATCATTACCAGTACTTTGGAATGAAAACTCACAAAGAAAAGTTATGAGGTGGTGAGGTGCTTTGAGGACAGTCTTGTCTGACTAAGCAGATCTCATGGCGATGTGATTAAGTTACAAGAAAGGTTGAAGTTCACCCCCTCTCTGCAGAGAGTCACTGTAGCTGTTTGTGTGTCTTTGAGTTCGTTATACAACACTGACAGATTCCACACATCAGCTGTTTCATGACCCGCAAACTCTGCATGTGGATCAGGGAACACTGTGTTCAGATATGCTCGAGGTGTTGATGCATAAAAATGCCAGTGACTGTAGTTCAGTTTGAGTATCGTGTGCATGTAGGAGGTGCATTCAAGACAGCACACGTCTCCATTTCCTTTGGCACTCTCTTTGACAGATACGCTTCAAATGTAATTAATTTCAGTTAAAATCAACCCAAAGTTCTCAACACACAAACTTCTCTGCAGCGTCCTCATTCTTCTCTCTATACCCAAAAGAGGAGGCAGGTCTAACCAGATACGTTTACTCTGAGGTGCTTTTATTAGAACCAGAGCCTTTCAAAAATCTCTAAAGCTGAAGAATCTGAGAATTGAAACGGTTATGTTGGTAAATTAACGTTTCCCAAATCTACACTAAAGGAATTTTTAAAAGTCAGCCCACACTAACGTGTCTCTCCTCTTCTTTGTCCCTCCAGATGCCTCAATTTGAGAAAACCACGGTCCACATGAAGGACCACGGGAAGGTGGAGGACATCATCTGCGGTCTCATCAAAGGAGGAGCTTCCAAACTGCAGGTAAAACATCAGTTTGTCATTATACTAAACCTGTCTGTGTGTCTTTTGGTAAAACACCACCACCTCGTGGTGAAGAAGCTTGTAAGGCTGCAGCAAATGGAAAAATATTTTTCCAATTATCACCAGTTAGCTTGTGTTTTACTGGCCCAGCAGGTTTCACTGGGCTTTAGCTGTGAATAAAGGTAAAATAGTCCACGTTGAGACAAATAACAAGTAAACATAACTTTCACAGAGAACAGGAAGTCTTGACTCAGGTATCCCAGAAAAATGGCATTTGCCCAAATTGACTTTGTCACCAGTTTAGCTATTGGGTTCCCTAATTGTCTTACACCACCTAAACTAAAAAAGATTTCAGTTGGCAGTTATCACCTCCAGGGCATTCCTTTTGAGGGCCTTTGTTTCTTTTTGTGTCTGATTGAGGGTCTTTCATGGTTCTGGCAAACAAAGTGTTCTTCACTGTTTCAGATCATCACAGACTTTGACATGACGTTAAGCAAATTCTCAGTTAACGGCAAGCGTTGTCCAACGTGTCACAGTAAGTAAAACACAAAAAAGACATTTCTTTTTATTATGCAGCACTTTACAGTGTAAGAAATGTAAACATAAATTGCAGTTCCCCTGTGTGAATCATACGTTCTGTTTACTCTGCACAGATATCATTGATAACTGCAAACTGGTAACAGAAGAGTGCAGGAGTAAGCTGCTAGCGCTGAAGAATAAATATTATCCCATTGAGATCGACCCTCAACTCACCATGGAGGAGAAATACCCGTTTATGGTGGAGTGGTGAGTCTTGCACACACCAGCACACTGTACAAATTCACTCGATTACTTTACTGCTGTGTGTTGCTTAAGTTGTGAGGTCTATCTTACTAAAAGTAAAAGATTGTTTTTGCATATTTACAGGTATTTCAATTCTCACCGACTGCTTGTGGAGCAGCGGTTAGAGAAGGACAAGCTGCCAGAGGTGGTCAGAGAGTCTGAGGTTGCCCTCAGGTAACTGTAGAGGAAGATGTGGAGGAAACTGAATTACACGTGTGAATCCTGTTTGAGCACAGTGTAAAGGATAAACTGTGCCTGTGTTTGGTTTCAGAGACGGCTTTGAGCAGTTCTTTGACCGCCTGCATCAGCACAATGTGCCTGTGTTCATTTTCTCTGCTGGCCTAGGAGATGTCCTAGAGGAAATCATGCGCCAGGCAGGAGTGTATCACCCCAACGTCAAGGTCGTCTCCAACTTCATGGACTTTGATGAAAATGTGAGTGTTTAATGAAAGGCAAAGTCTTCATTTTTGAGTCTTAATTCTGGTGTTTACAGTTAATCTGTAGAGAAATAGAAGCACATTGGCTGAACAAGCTCTGCTGGATGTTTCTTCCTGTTAAAAGGGAGTTTTTCTTTCCACTTGTCTGGGCTTGTCTGAATATTGTTTTTCTGTATTATTGTAGAGTCTTTACTTTACAATATAAAGCACTTTGAGGTGACCGTTGTTGAGATTTGGCGCTATGTAAATAAAACTGAATGGAATTTTTTTATTGTCTCCTTGTTTCGCAGGGCATCTTGAAGGGATTTAAAGGTGAGCTGATCCATGTGTACAACAAACACGACGGTGCCCTGCGGAACTCAGAGTACTTCAAACAAATCAAAGAGTACTCCAACATCATCTTGCTGGGCGACTCACTGGGGGACCTAAGCATGGCTGATGGTGTGACCAATGCGGAGAACATCTTAAAGATTGGCTTCCTCAATGACAAGGTACAACCATGACATGCATAGACAGATCCTTAAGCATAGTAAAAATGTCCCTGAACATTGAGTTGGCTGTGTTATCAATATTACATCTACTTGAGGTCAGTAAGGGAATAATAGAATAGCAGTGTCTCATTGTCTGGGGTTATGGAAATGCCATGTTGAAGGCTTTCTGCCATCTAGCCCTTATACTTTGTAATATTGCACACTGTCAGCAAACATTTGTCTTTTGAATTTTATTAATTTATTTACTGAGAGATTATTAGAGTGAAATTAGCCTTTATTCCTTTTCTCCTTAAAAAAAACCCTAACAATTCTAAGTCCATGCCATTTTTCAGATTTGAGGATAAATAGTGTCTTAATGCAAATCACAGAATACTTAAGAGTTGACCCCCAAAAAATTGGAAACATGGTTTTTAGACTGCTTAGTCAGGTTCACTTTCCCTGAAGGCAGGTGCTGTGGCTGCTTGAAGATTGATTAGATGAACTGTCTCCTGACCTTTTCTCTGTGGCCTCTCTTTGCAGGTGGAAGAGCGACTTGACAAATATCTGGACTCTTATGACATAGTTCTGGTGAAGGACGAGACATTGGAAGTCCCAAATGCCATCCTCCAGAAGATTCTTTAAGTCCACCTCTGAGCTGACCGCAAACCCACACCACACCCAGTACACCTCTCTGTCCCCCCCTTCAATCTGGAGCCAGTTAGGCTTGACACCCTTTTTAACCAGCTCCACTCTGTCTCAGCACATCACCCTTTGACAGGCTTTTAAAAAAGACATTTTACATCTTGTAAATGAAGTCCACTCAGCATCAACAGACTGTCTCTGGTGTGTTTTGTCTGTTGCAGTTGTTTCTGATGTTTTTTTTCTCTATATATATTTTTATGAAATAATAACATCTGAATATTTGCACAGTATTGTTATCATAGCTTTTTCTAGGAGTATTTTTATTATGGTGATGTTTCAATACCATGTATGAGGTGCCCACAGATGGATGAAACAGTTTGGTTTTTCTTCTTCTTTTTCTTCTTCTTTTTTTTTTTTTTTGGAGCTATCCCAGCATGCCTGTCACCTCAGTTATTCTACTTTTGTGACTTGGCAGTAAGATGTCATTCTAGCCAGTCTTGCAATGTAAACTGTTGTTGTTAGACATGCCACATATCTGTACAGGTAAGGCTTAAAGGTTGGGAAAGTAATTAAGAACATTTATTAATGGACCTTTTTATCAGTAATACTTTTTTTTTTTCCAATCTCTTGCTTGGTTACAGAAGCATCAGCAGCCAGTATTGGGGTTTTTTGTTTTGTTTTGTTTTGTTTTTTTAGATAAAGAAGAGAGATTTGGGGTGTCAACATGAAACTCACGTGATGATGAGAAATGAGATGAAAAGCACTTTAAATTCTATGTATGGGGAAATTAAGTCTCCTGTTGATGTGCAGAGGTGGCACCGTTTTGATTTATGGATGTTGGAACAGGTTCTAAGGCCATGTTTACATGCATTCAATTTATATCCAAATGTGCTCATTCATACTTATTTCCACCTGTTGTAATGCTACAACTGAAACATTTATGGCAAATGCCATTTTTGATTAAGGAGTTTACACTGCTCTCTTACTCAAGTATTCTCTGTGCCAGAGATAAAGGTTACAGAAGTATTAACTAATGCTGAAGTATACCTGTAGTTGTCATTAGCGGGAATTACCGGGAACTAAAAAGCCATAATAATTCCCGAAAATCTGGCACCATAAGCTTCTCTATTGAAATAAATATTACATTATTTATGAAGAAATGTAGTTTATTTCACAGTTTCAGTAAAGAAAGAAGTCACCTGCTGTCTATGGCTCACAAAAACCCAGCATAAGACCTGTTAAATGTAATGTGTTTTATCACCTTTACATTCTCAGTGAGCACTACCTCTAAAATATTCATCTTTATGTTTTGGGAGGTTCAGAACTAAAACGTCTCAACATGTTGTGTAGAATGTTGAATTTGTTTGTGGTTTAAATGTGCTGCTATCACCTGCATGTTGCCTTTTGTTATTGTTCAGTTTATGTTAAAGACACGGGACACTTAAAAAGATATATCAATAAAATGGAGAATACTGGCATACTGTAAATGTGGGCATTGTATCAAAATGTATATTATTTTACTGCATTTGGAGATATTTTCAGAAGTTTAGACTGGTGTGTTTTATTTTTATAAGCTGAAAGGCTTTATTTTATGGTGTGAAAAGAAAACATAATAAAGTCATTGTTGTCAGGCCGTGCGTGGACAGCAGACTGGATTAACTTAACTGAAAGCTTTGGGTTCATTGGGATTTTAATGTGGATCATGTAATGTAGGACATTAAATATTTGCTATCCATCAGTTAGTTCAGATACATTTGGATGTGGCTATTGCGTATAAATGTTGTATTCACCTGTTTGTAATCAGAGTTATCAAAAAATGGCAAATTTACTAATAAATATAATATATTAAATCCAATATTAAAATTGGCCTCGAATAAAACAACATTCTTAAATGATTACAATTACTGGAATAATTATAATTCAGTAAAGTCAGCAGGAAATTGTAAAGGTCAAGATTAACAAACATATTTCACTCAGGCAACTATAGAATTACTTTATACTGGGAAGAAAGCTCAGTATGCCACTGAATTTCTAATTTAAGCCTACTAAGAGAGTTTCCAGGATGAAAGAAAGAAAATCTGAAGTTTCTAAAAAAAAAAAAGGTAACTGCATTTCTACAAATGTGTTTAGTGGTCTTTGAAGTGATGTGTGCGCAGTGCCTATTTTTGTGAATGATATTGCACCATATGTAATGTGCACACAAAGAGAATGTTTAAGAATATGGGCTATTCATTTTGACAATTGCACATCAGCAGGACGTCATGATTTAGCCGGTGTATCACAAGATGTCCTGCAGATGGCGGCAGTGGACAAGGAGTGGATGAACTGTGGGATGCAATTTAAAGTTTATCAACGTGGCATCTTTGAATCCCAGAAATTGTTGTGTTCACATGTAGAAGTCGTGGCTCGTTGGTCTAGGGGTATGATTCTCGCTTAGGGTGCGAGAGGTCCCGGGTTCAAATCCCGGACGAGCCCATATTTTGTTAGAAACTCATTTTTGTTGTATTTGAACGAGCATAAACTAAAAAGTACAAATAGTGGACATCTGGAATCATATTTAATTTTTCTTTAGTGGGTCAATACAGAATTACTACTCTGTCAGACTGAGTCAATGGATAGCCAAATGCAAACCATTACAATGCTTTTCCTGCAATGTTATTATGTGATATATGTCGATAAAGAAAATAAAGATATGTACTGATATACAGTACTTACTGTAATACTTGCTTATGCTGACATAAAGATGAAAAAAAAAGTCCCTTGGATAAGTGACGAATCGTTTCTCCCACTGAAAACGCGACGTGCAGATGTACAGAATCATTTTGGTCACATTGAACATGCAAATCAAATAACAGCAATGATAACACGTATGCGTCACAATCGACTAGGCTCACGTGCGCTTGCATGGCTCGTTGGTCTAGGGGTATGATTCTCGCTTAGGGTGCGAGAGGTCCCGGGTTCAAATCCCGGACGAGCCCTCCCTTTTCGAGCGAATCCTACTTCTAAGCTTCCACATTTAGAAAGTGTAATGAATCTCCCAAGATATACCAATGGTTTAAGTGCACTCTTCAACAGTTCCTTGGTTAACAAACTAAATACCCTACCTACTACACATATGTCACTGTCATAAAATTTACAGGTTTTATCTCTATCAATATACAAATGAAAATAAAATAAACAACACATTATATATATATAAAATTATTATTATTAAAAGGAAATAATTATTAAAAGGAAATAATGAAAAATATCAATAATGATAGGAACAGCACCATTAGAATTCTGATTTAAATCTGTGACAGATGCCATAGCCACGGAGATGGTGGCAGAAAAATAATCTAAAATAATAATATCTAAAAGTTTTAAAAACATTGCTTTTGTCCAAATTTAATGAAGTTTAAAGGTTTTTTCACATTTGATTTGTGATTCGATATACAGAGTGATTAAACAGAGTTAAAAGAAATAATGCTTTAAAAAAACACTCCCCGTGGAGTTACCCGAAGACGCTTGAGTGAGATTTTTTTGGTCCACGAAAAAACTCGTTTTCCCAAACACCACCCCCTTGTATTTCCGTTCATGCGCACTAACCCCCGGCTTCTCTGCTAAGCGTCAGTGCCATGACAACAGGACGATGGCTGCAAGCAAGAGGGTGAGAAATGTGATGTTTGTGTGACCGAGAAGTAACGAATCTTCGACATTTTTCGGACTAGGTCATTCCTGTGAAGGTAAGAGGTAACCGGAACAATAACAAAGGCGTTTTGTTATCAAATGAGAAACCGTGAAAACAGCAGCGACCCTGTTTCTGATCTGCTAGCGTGTAACTAGGGAACTTGAAGGGCTAGCTAATTAGCCGTCTAAGCTACAGTTAATTCAGCCGGCTTGAGTGTAATTGCAGGGTAATTCACCTGTGCAGGTTCACAACGACTTAAAACCGTTCTTGAATTTGTGTCACTAACTTTACTCTTTTTAACGTACAAATATGGAGAGTGTTGTTGCCCAAACAAGAGTCCTTATAGGTGTGAAGCAATAAATCTACAATTGAATAGCTATTACAAAAGTCTAAAATCCAAGAGCTTTCAAAATTTAATATCAGACTAGAACAATAAATTTACTTCTTGATTTATTTTTCCTTTCTATTCTTTGATTGTTGGACTGACTCTCTACTGTAGCATTTAACTCGAGAAAGATCCTATCTTCTCTTAATATTTATAGGCATTGTGCACACATTTAAGACTCCAAAATACGTGGAACTAAGTCCGAAATTAGGGAAACAAACCATTGGAAATGACGGGCTAAAATTACGTTTCCCATTCCACTTTTATTTGTCTGATGTTTGCACATAATTTAAAGTCTCATTCACAAAAACAAAAAAACACAATTGCCTAACAAAGGGTTTAAAGTGTCTCGGTTTTTATTTTTAAAAAGTAACTCATTTATGCTGAAAACTTTACTTAAGGAACCTCAAAATATATTTAAAGCTAATTGATCTAATCTGGAGACATTGATGAGCAATAGACTGCCCCAAGCAAAACCAGTAAATTAGCACAAAGCCATGCAAATAGTCAGAGGATGATACTGTAAGTTATTCTGATCATAGAGTAATACTGATCAGATTCTTAACCTTTTAAACCTTGCTTTTTATGCAATGACTCGTCAATGTATTCCTTTAACAGCCTCCCCTTCCTGCATGGCAGTGCACTCTGAATAGGTCGGATTCTCTTTGTATGGATTAACTGTCCGTTCCACCTGCTCAGCACTTAGCAAGTAGAAAAGCTGCTTGCCCCCAACTATACACCTCCTTATTCCCCCCTCTATGCTCACATGCACAATCCTGAGGTCACATGACTGGCTCCCTTCTCTGCCATTGGCTGTAGTTGTAAGTGTTATGTTCAGAGCACTAGGGCTTCCTGGGGTAGTGGGTCAAGCTGTCACTATGCAAATGGCTCAAGGCAAGCCTTTTATGAAGGAAAATAGATGGTGGATTGATTTTGTGAATAAGTAGTCCTTAACCCTTCTTTATACTTGCTGTGGTGATGCTCTTAACATTTCTGGTGTTCTACCTAGAGCTGCTCAGTGAACAGGAGATAATGCTGTGAAAAGTTAATGCCTTGTAGATGCATACTCTGCTCTGTCTCTTTGCTCATCTGTCTACAATGTTTTTGTACCTATAGTTATTCAGTTATACAGAGAAAGTCATTAACTGAACATTTTGTGGTTATTTATTTTGTTCACAGCATCTAATCCTTCACTTCTTCTGTGTTCCTGTCTGGTCAAATAGAGGCGGCATGTCTCTGTTCAAGGCACGTGATTGGTGGTCAGCAACACTTGGCGAAGGGGAGGAGTTTGACCAGGGATGCCTGTGTGTTGGAGACGTGGACAACAGTGGCACTGGACACGGTCAGTGTGTTGTGAGGAACTGATACACTAGCCATCCCATTTATCTATCTTTCTTAGTACGTCACTTCTAGTTTATTCTGTCAGGATAAAAACACATCAAGTTAAATGTGTCTACTGGATATAATTTGTGTATACGCACTTACTACTAGATGTCTGCCAACTGAAGCTTTAAACTGTTATTATTAAATTTAATTGTGATTGTCGGCAACCTGAACTAGATTTTCTTCTTATTGTTTCGGAGTCTAAGACTAAATTGCCCATAGGTGTGAATGCGGGAGTGAATGTGAGTGCGAATGGTTGTCTGTCCCTGTGTGTTAGCCCTGTGACAGTCTGGCGACCTGTCCAGGATGTACCCTGCCTCTCGCCCTATGACAGCTGGGATAGGCTCCAGCACCCCCCGTGACCCTGAAAAGGATAAGTGGAAGCGAATGGATGGATGGATGTTTCAGAGTCCTGAATTATCTTTATTTATCTTTGTGAAGGCTCCTAGTTCAGTCCTTTGTGTGAACAACACTTTAGTTCCTCTCCTTTTAAATGAACTCTTTTCTTATTGGCTGCCCTTCTCCATCCAAAAGCACAAAAGTGAGAGAGGTGTGCACCTGAGATGGCCATAATACTGACACCTGCCGTTACTCACTATCTGAAATTTGAGCTTTTGACTCATAGATAGCGGCACTCATGGCCCTTCAAAGTCACCTCACTATTTGAAGCTTAGGACAACAACAAAAAAAAGCAAAAGCATAAAACATCCCATTTAGATATCCTCAAAGTAGCCAAAACACAGAAGTATGGGAGCATAAATAAAACCCTTCTCATTTTGATTTGCAGTTCAACTCTGCATTATAATATGTGTTGCTAAACTGTATTTTTTTCAAGCTGGTTGAAAGAAGAGCTGATGGTAACACCGCTTGAGCCACTGGACCTCTTTTCTTTGCAGTATGTCAAACTCCAAAATAATAAAAGTTAGACTGCTACCAATGAGTAATAACCTCTATTCTCTCTGCTATTTCCCCTCTTTGTGATGATAAATTTGCAGACAAAGTTGTAGTGGGAAGTTACATGGGGATGCTGCGAATCTTCTCCCCGCATGCCAGTAAGACTATTGAAGGAGGTCAAGCTGATGCCCAGCTGCTTGAAGTTCAGCTTCAAAATGCCATCATCCAAGTCGAACTGGGCAAGTTTGTTTCGTAAGTATGCAAATCTAACCCACAAACAGTGGACAAGCATACCAAAAACATATGACAATGTACCGTAGTCATTGCTGGTTCTTTCTCTAAATTAAGCTCTTTTCCCCTTTTTGAGTCAAAGTTTTGTCAACATTTCTTTTCAGTTTGTCTGAATGAAACTAAAATGGATTTGGTCTTTAGTGTCACTCCTGATAAGTCAAGTCAAATCACCACAGCCTTGTGTTCTAACACTAGGACCATTGATTATGTTGCTAATCCCTCATTGCACCTTATCTCCTGCCTTCTTGGCTGCCTTCCACCATGTCAGGCCTTGACCACTGTGGTGGTGTTGTGTAGGACAAATTGATATAAGCACTCACAGTCTCACAAAAGCGCTACCTCACAAATTACACATTTGCTCTTTTAAACGAACAGAGGCAGGCAGAAAGAGTTTGTCGACAGTAGATGTTAATGCTAACATCAAATCTTTTTAAACCATTCCGATTGGTTGCCTCTCACAAAAAGGTTGAAACAAGGGTTTGGTGGGGCTTGCTCTAAACACATGCTTTAAAACAGCGGACCCCAACCTTTTTTGCGCCACGGACCGGTTTATGCCCGACAATATTTTCATGGACCGGCCTTTAAGGTGTCGCGGATAAATACAACAAAATAAAACTAGTACCGGTACCGAAAAAAAGAAGATTTATTCATAACACACGTGAAAAGACCCAGGAAAACAGAGTTAAAGATAAAAACGATAACAAAATAACACTGAAAAACGATAAAAACCCTGAAAAACATACATTTCACACCCGAGCCTCAACTCTCGCGGCCCGGTACCAAATGACTCACGGACCAGTACCGGTCCGAGGCCTGGGGGTTGGGAACCGCTGCTTTAAAAGCTTTAACTTGAAACATGTATGTCCTCAATCCAGCTTCGCAGAGAGCATACATTCACAGAGCATTGCTTGTTGGTACAAAATAGAAATGACATGTAGTGTTTCATGTCCACTTTAAATACATCCACTCTCATTGACATCATACCGAGTTCACATGCTTGATTTGAGATGAAGCATTTAAATCAATCTGAAATCTGAGCTTTTAGATCATTCTTGCAAATATGTGTGTTTGATATGAGCCATTCCAGCAATCACTGCAGATTTAGGCAAAGCAAGACGGGTCTTTTTGAAAAGTAACCAGTCTTATATTTGCATTGTCTTTGGTGGCTGAACAGGTCAGAGGTCACAGTTAGAGAGGATACTGTGCAGTTGATAGAGCTTTAAGAACTGAAACAGGATGTACAGAGGAGCTGCCCTGTAATTGAATGTTCAGTGTCATCTGTTACATATGTGTGCCTTTCTGCAGTAATGAATCACAGGGCTTTCTTGAACTCTGTGTCATGACCTCGTGTGAATTATAAGCATTCATAGTATAGCCTGTAATAAAGCCTTACTTTAAAATGCCAGGCAGAAATAACCATTTGTAGCTTAATGCTCTGCTTTTTCATTCATAGAAAAAAGCATCCCTTCTGTTACTTACAACCACATTAACATCTTTTTCCACTGCAAAGTATGCTAACCTCAAACCAAGATTGCCAGGAGTTTCTCTCCCGACTCATGATTTACACGCTCTATCAGTGGCCCAAACATAGTTGTGCTTATAATGTCAGGCTAACCACTGAGTTTCTAGCATAGTTTTAAAACCCAGGGCCACTTCCAGCGACGTTAGTGCATTGCTGGATACTACGAGTCAGTCAAGTGTAATGTGCAGATGTGTCCAGGAAAAAATCACTTGTTTTGAAGAGACATTGATCAGGTTTCAAAACTATGTAAATGTGGGAAGAAGGATAAAAGCAATTATGGGGGATAGGGCAGTGTTGATTAGATATAGGATTATTGTGGTAATTATTCAGAGCTGGAAAAAAAGGAAATTAAAGCAGGACTATAAAGATTTTGAAGGATTGAATATCTCAGATTTTCTATTATATATGTAATTGAAAAGTTGAAGTTATGACTAAAACACACGCTTGCTTGATTCAACACTGCACTCATATTTTACAGCTACATTTAAAAAAAAACTTCAAATAAATGACTTAACAAATTCACCCCTTCTCAGGCTCCATACCTTTTTAATCCATGACGGTTAATGAAGTGAGATAAGAAAACCTCGACAAATGAAGAGAAAGTGAGGGACCTTTAACTGCTTGTAATTAGAATTTGTAGACCCTACTTTTAATTTTTGCTAGATGTTCTTTGTGAAATATTCTTAAGTGTTCAAATATCGATGGTTAGTGTAAATGTTTTCTTAATACCATCTTGAAGGGCTCCAGACAATGACTGATTGCAGTGTTGACCAATTTCTACTTGATGTAGCTGCAACCCCCCCCCCCCCCCCCCCCCCCCACACACACACACAAAAAAAAGAAAAAAAAAAAGAAAAATCAAAACACTAGAGATACAGTCATTGTCATCATCATACTGGTAACATTTGGCATGGTTTGCAAATCTTAGTTTTATCCCAGCAAATCCAAAAGTGCTGTACCTGGGGACGGCAGCAGGTCACAAGACAATGTGGAAAAGGTAGGTGAGACAGAAAGCAAAGTCAAATAATGTTTTCTGACTCTAGTGATTGTGGAAATTCTTTGGATAAGACATAGAAGAAGAACATGCACTGTGTAAATATAGTAAAATGTGGTGTTGCCCTAAGTGCTCAAAACATTACAAGCAGCATGTGGCACAGACTCTTAAGGGAGTCTTGTAGTTCCCATAAATCAGCAGCTGTACAACTCATGCAGTAATGTCACCAGTGTGACAATTTAGTCCTGAACCATGAAAGAAACTAGAGATTCATATAATATGTGTAGTATTTCAGACTCATTGTTTACTGTAGTAAATACACAGTAAAATCCAAACCTTTATTTATCTGTTAAAATAATCAAGGACTTGAATCTGTCTGTGAAATTGATGCTGCCTTTCTTTAACATTAATCTCAACATTAATACCACACATTGCCTCGCTGCGGCTGCATAGGAACGTCCTGGAATGGAAGGTTTCTGGGAAAAGCTGTGGTCTGTCTCGAAGGCTTCCCACATCATCACACTGGGAGCAGAATCCAACTAAATCAGTCTGTTTGGAAGACGTTGTGTTTAGTTACCTGCGGTTTTTCGGCACAGCATTCTTCAGAGACTGGTGGGACATTTTGGACGCTGGCCTTGATAGCAAAGCACGTTGTAAATATTGTGGAGGCAGACCGAGGTGGGCAGATGGTGAAAGGTTTTGTTTTCTTGGTTTTCTAAGAAAGAGCGAAAGCTTGTGGTTTTCAGTTTTCTAGTTCCTTGTTGTTGTTCTCTCAGCAAACATAACTGCAGTGGTTGAAACTTAGTAAGACGCATTTGTTCTCAGCCCAGAAAGCGGACACATTCCGTCTCAGTGGTTTTGTGGCAAGGTAAATAAGTGAAAAATCTAGGATCAGCATCACTGGAACATCATCTACACCTAAACCATAACCAATGTTAAAAAAATGCACCAGCTGTTGCAGTAATTATTTTAGACGAATGAGAGAGAATACGAGTGGATGCCACCCTTGAGCTAAGAACATGGATTCAGCCACAGTGGCAGGAAGCATCTGCCCTGCTGGTGTCTGAGAAAGAAACTCTATCTTTACCAGCTGCAGGGCCGCAGTTCTAGTGTTATTCTAGCGTAGTGATTTTAGCTGTTATTTGGCTTATAACTAGGTGGTCTTGTTAAATAATTGTGGATTTTTAGAGGTATCCATCCAAAATAATCAACATGGGGTCCTGTTAAGCTGTAAAGGACATTACCCAAATGCACCACTGCACAACGCAGGAAATAATTCCTCTCCATCGAATGCACAGTACACCCTTTTGGACATGCTTTACAGTGCAAATCACAAAGTTTTACAGTTTAGAGTAAAATGTCAATCATATATATTTAATCTCCTTTAATGTTCAGGATATTTATAATTGAGCTATTTGTATCTATTAGAGCAATTTTTTATATTATGTAACTTTGTAATATATTGTATCTTTGGTTAAATTTGGTTCAGTATCTTGGAGTAACTGTAACACATAATTTCACACAAAGTATTCTGATTCTGATAAAAGGGTTTTAGTTTTGTAGGTTATCGTATTATTGAACTGCTTTAGTACTTTCTTTGCTGTCTTTTCAGGTGTTCAGAGCTTCTTCACTTGGCTGTTCTCCACCCCAGAAAGCTGTCAGTCTACTCTGTATCAGGTAAAATTTACATAAACAGGGTTTTCATTATTTATGTTTAGTAAATGGACTGATAGTTATACGATGCTTTTCTACACCACGGAGCACTCAAAGCACTTACATTACAAACCACATTCATACACAGATTGTTCTCTGCTCTTTAAGTTCCCTATATCTGTCACACTCACACGCTTATGGATGCCTTATGGCTAATTTGATGTCCAGTATCTTGCCCTTCACCACGCAGACTGGAGAACATGAACCACTGATCTTCAAATCCGAAACCACTTGCTAAGCCACAGCCACCCGTTTTGGGATCAGTTTTCACTTTTAAAGGTGTCATTATATCTTCTGTTAATTGAAGTTGGGTTTTTTGTGTGTTTTTTTTAACCTTATGCAGGCACTGCAGGGAACGTGGAGCATGGTGACCAGTACCAGCTCAAGTTGGTTTATGAGCATAACCTGCAAAGAACAGCCTGCAACATGACTTACGGCACCTTTGGAGGAGTCATGGGTACACTAAATTCACTTTTTTCATAATATTGTTTTAAACAAGAGAGATGTAAAGCTGTCCTGGAATCACACAAGAATTTTGGTGCATAATAACTTCTCTTAGTAACAGCTTTCTGACAGCAGTGCCATAAGCCATGCACACACATGTAAGTCATTTATACAAAAGAAAACTTTATGTCCACCAGGAATAGTGGCTGGCTATAAAGGGTACTTTTACTGCTTTACAAGTTCTGTGTGTCAGCTTTTGTGTGTGGGTTTTTCTTTTGAGTATTTAATAAAGGAAAGTCAAAAGGCTGAGTATAGGCATTTTGTTGTGTTGATTATCATCAACATCAGTGAGGGACCTCACAAATATATTGAAGTGCAAGCGGTGTGCATTAGTGAACATCTGTGCATGTGTCTTGGCATAAGAGGTAATTGGCAGCGCTGGACAAATACATAAAACTATAAAAGTCTATAAGAAGAGTGAAGGAGGAAAAGGGAGAGAAAGAGAGAGGTCATGTAGCTGCGCTCTCTTTAGTCTATTGGGCTTTTGGAAAAACCAAGTAGGGGAAAGCCCTAATGGAGTAAGCATCCAAGAAAAACACACATACACGCACACACACTGAAACACACACACACTCGCAGAAACACAGGGAACCCCCTTTAAAGGAGAGAAAATGACATTTCCAAATAAAGCCTGTATTGTCAAGGTGTGTGTGTGAACAGAGAGCTTGCCAGACTCTGTGGCCTGGCATGATGAATCCGTCATTCACTTCATGTTTAGAGAGCCTGTCTGTCTGTCTGTGTGCAAGTGTTCATCTGAGTGTGTATTTGATTGATAGAAAGAACAGTGTGGGCTAATTAAAACCAAAACCAATACCTTGGCCTGTACTGAGTGCACGTGTGTAGGACATACCACAAACCAATAACTCTGACTGTGTCCACGTGTTTTCTGGTTTCCCCACACTGTGCAGGATGTGTTTCAGATGTCAGCTGAGCTCTCATGTAAACTGGTGTTCTTTCACTCATGCTCTCTACTGTCGCCAAGTGCTTCCTTATAGGGCAACTTGTGATCTCTGGGGTTCTTGCAGTCTAAAATGACATGAGGTAGCTGATTGTTGTGAAGTAGTGTGGTGTAAATAAAACTGGGTCTTTGTGCCATGTCCAAGTTTGACATCTGTGTACCTAAATGTTTTAGCGATCCTTACTTATGACTAAAAATAGACATGCATTCCTGACCATTTGACCTTGAACTTTATAACCACAAGTAAATGTTTCAACCCAATGCTGTTTCCTAACCTAAACCTCTGGTTAACCCCTAAACCAAGTCTTATCCCTTAAACAGCCCTTGACCGGAAACTCGGTAAACACAGAAAACCATACAGGCAGACTAGTATTCACTTTACATCTCTAGTCTTTTCCTATAGTGTACACCAGTAGATGGCAGTACAGGCCCTAGAACTGCTCTTCTATTTCACCTTGATACTGAATGAATGAGGTCCTGTTTTAATTCTTGTACGGGAATTCCCCTTTCCTAGCTTTCCCAAGTAAGGAGTTCTGAGTAGAGATTTAGTGCCTTGTTCAAGAACGGCTTCATCAGAATGGTGTGCATGTTTACACATGCTTTATTTTGCAGATAATGGTAATGCTTATTCTTTCAAAAAAAATTTTTTTTTTTACATTTTTAGATCATTTTTAGTGCTTTTAAATGTTTATGAGTGTAAGACTATATATATGTGGCAATAATCCTAAAAAATGATTAGAGAAAAATCCCCCAAAATAAATGACATTTGGGGAAATCTGAATCTATTTTGATGTTGCAACCCTTCATCTAAATTCTCAGTTTGCTGCCTGCCTTTTTTAACCTTGTTTTTGATTATAATTGTTATGGACGGATTTTTTTGTTTTTTGCATTTTAGATTGGATATAGTAGAAACAGAGGAGAGGGGAAAGGATGATGTGCAACAGAAGTGCTCCCCACTTATTTTGCACTGTTCTGCATTATTTCTGTCTTCTTTGTTTACTGTAGCAGCTGTTTAGTTTTGTAGTCTAAATTATACCAATAACGATCAATGCTTCATTTATAACTTAAGATATTTGTGTTCTGTTTGACTACATACACACAAAAGAGGCTATTTTTATTTCTCTTTTCCTTTTAAAGGGCAAATGAGTTTTTGATCTGTGTGCGTTTTATTGGGAAAAGATGTTCGCTGTTTGCTCTTTCCTCACCATTTCACATAGTTTACAAGAAAATGAGCCGATCTCACAGTTGATTGGATGAAACACAAACATACACATACTCGTAATGATTATCTTGCGCACACACACACACACACACACACACACACACACACACACACACACACACACGCACACACACACACACACACACACACACACACACACTGGACAGTATTTTCTGTGTAGTTTTACTGCATAGACAGTGATAGTCACAGCTCTGAGGCGAGAGCAGACTTCTGAAAATGTATTTCTTCCACAGATGTTGTTTGATAAGACTCTGTGTGTTTAGATCACAGTTAGTATAATAGACAGATTTGGTCACTATGACATCATCCATTTTTGTGGTTGTATTTTGAAACCTTAACATTTGCTTGTGTTGTGGAAGTGTTTTGGAGTATTCTGGAGCCACAATTAACCATATTTTGATGAGAATTAATTTAGTGGCATGTTACCAACTAACAATAGAAAGCTTGGATAGTACGCTGCATGCATACACTGTAAGGAATAAACGCCCTACACAGATATCTTGGTAAATTTGTGCTAAGTAACAGACTACTGCAATATTAAAAATCTATCAAAACAGATACACAGACTTCCTGGTGATTCTGTACTACACAGCAATCCATTTTAATTATGAGATAATTCTCTTAAAATGCCCAACAAGCCACCAACAGCACAAATGCAGTGGAGAGATCCAGCTCATTAAGTACATTTAGCAGAGTTGAGGACTAGCAGAAACCAATTGCTTTTGGCTGCCTGCCTGGGGACAGACCTGTCAGTCAAAGTGGCCATGCCCCTTAAATCCAATTTCTAGATGGAGGAGTTATAATAAGGTTCATCCACTTTAAAGCTGTTGTGAAGGAAGTAAACTTATGTAGTGGCCTAAAACATTTTATTACCAGTCTGTATGAATGCTTTTTAAGGCTGTAAAGTTGGTCATTTTAACATTGGAGTTTACAGGTACTCACTCACTTTTGTAGCCAGCCTCAAGTGGCCACTAGAGGTACTGCAGTTTTGGCACATCCATGTGGGTTCATTTGTCACCCGTGGAGGTTGCTGCTTGGTTTGGATATGGAAACTAGCGTGTGTGCGTGTGGGAGTGTTTTTGCAAGTCGTGTCTGCTGTTACACGTGAGTGTGTGTGCGTGTGGGTTTGCATGTGTTGGTCTATAATAGCACCCATTTAGCAGTGCTGTAGGCACTGTAATAGCAGCTCTGTATTAATACTACTCTAATAGCTGGGCTGCCATTTGGTTTGGGTCACTTTCAGGCCACACACTTACAGTCGAAGTATAGACTGGTCTTACACACACACACACACACACACACA